GTTTACGGATATGTAGGATATATGCATATATACATAGAGACACAGGGCTTAGGGTCTAGGGATGGGGTTGGAGTGAGGGGGTTTAGGGTTCGGGGGTTTACGATTTAGGGTTTGGGGTTGCTCCAATCTGTTGATTGTGGGTGGGGCTATAAGAACAAGCACAGGCTTGTTAACCACAAAAATGAAGCCCCCAACAAAGATCACATATGCGCATATATCCATAATACTGGCCAAGGCTGGTAGATTTCGCAGACGACCGCCGCAGCAACACAGAACCCTACAGCCGCAGGCGGGTTTTATTGCTGGTTTATCAACATGTGAGCTGTGTCCCTTGTAAGGTTCAAGTTCATGAAACACGTGAGCTGTGTCCCTTGTAAGGTTGCATTTTTCGTAGAAAATTGCATCTAATCCAAAACGAGGCTCTACCTGACTCTACATTAGGGACCATACAAGTAGCATCTAGCATCCCCATTGCAAACACTACTAAAAGCCAGCATACCCAATGCCAAAGAAGGATTCCACACTCTTCCCCCTAAACCTTAAACCCTCAAACCCACAAATCAAAGAATGGAGGAACCCTGCATCTGGCCAACGCGCTAAGCATCATCGAAAACTCACACCATATGGCAGTCATGACAGTACACAAGCCAAGAAACAGCATAAAGGGAAACAGATGCAATACTGGCATCAAGGTTGCCGTCAGAATAGCAACTGTAAGAATAAGAGTAATTACTGGTAATCATGGGAACTTTGGTAGAAAGTCTTCTATGCAATCCTTTGGAGGATCCGCCCGCCCGTTTAATCTCCCCCTGTACGATGTAGAGGATCTAGGGTTTAGGGTTGAAGGCATCCTGAACGCTGTCCGTTCCTATACATCCAGTCATACAAAAACATGGCGGTTTCCGTAAGCAAGGGGACCCTACTGCACTGCAATACTTGCCAAAGATGGCTCCCAAGAAACCCTGAATGATGGCAAACCCTAAACCCTATATCCCTACATACCCCCCCTGCATATAGCCCCTACATAACTCCTAAAGAGAAACCTATATGTCAACATATATATATATATATGGGTGGTTGTCAAAATGATGGTCCCTTTTTGGATCCCTATTATAATACGGCCCCTAATATTTAGGGTACCCAAAAAAGGACCATAATTTTGCCAACCACTCATATATATATATATGCACTCATATCCAAAATGGTTTCTGCGGTCCCAAAAATTGCCAAGATCCAGCCTTGGAGGTCATCCCAGGCAACTGTACAAAGCTGGTGGGCAACGTGGCTGCAGAACAAGATTTGGGGGCTTAAAAGGTTTCAGGGTTTAGGGTTTATTGGGTTAAAGGTTGCAAGTCAACTAAGAGTTTCGAGCTTGGGTTTGGGATGTCAGGTTTCGTGCCTTGGGGTGTAGAAATTGCCCTTCCCTACGCTTGCCCGTGAATTCCAATGCATGGGAAGTCCAGGTGCTGAACGTAGTGCGCCTCATCGTATTTGTCTTCTGCGCCGTGCTATCGCTTGGGGTGGCATAGCATTCCGAATCTTCGGACCTCCTAAGAACAACTCATCTGCCTGTAACATACCTTCAGCTTCAGTTCGAGTGATGTCTTGAGGCAGCAGTACTCATTGCAAATGTCTTCACTTCAAGAGTTCATAAGCTCCCAAATTTAAATCTTGCCCTTCGCATCTTGATGCACTCGATTGCCCAGCAAAAGCTACATCTCTCATGCTGGAGCTAGACCTGCAGTGACACTCACGCGCTTGCTGCCTGGGCGAGGTCAGCGCGATTGATGAATGATGTGCTTGGAATGTGGCCGCGAAATTACCTTTTTTCCCTACCCAGTGAATTTCAAAGGCAAGCGAGAATCAGCAAGGACGAAAGAAGCCCGAAACCCTGTCTGACTACAACACTGAGCGCTCTATTCTTCATGAGCTCTGGCAAGAGCTGCAAGCAGGACCAAGCGCATATAAAGGCTGAATCCCGGCAAGTGCCAACCGGTCCGTCGGCGACAGCATGCATTGAAGAACGCTGTGCCGACCCGTCTACCTGCGCTGCAAAAAGACATCTTGGATGTCTGCAAGGCGTGGACACCTTGAACTTGGAGCTTGCAGCAGTTACTTGCAGGTGGTTCGTAGAAAACGGAGGAAGGGATCCCTATATGACCCTGGGACCCTTATACATTGGGAGCTTTCCATCTTCCTTTCCATTCCTTCATTCCTTACGAACTAACCACCAGAAAGATTGAACTGGGCGACAGCCAGCCACCATATGCAGCGCACCTCCACAGAATTGGCCGCTGTGGCTCTGAATAAAACAAGGTGATCGCAAGAAGGATGAAGCGGATGAAGATCTTCTTCCTGCTCTCGAGGACGAAGCATGAAGTCAAGATAAAATGAGGAAACCATTCGATCTCAAGGAACGCCCGGATTACGCAAAGATGGGGAGACTAGGTAGGTATACTACGAAAAGCACGTATAGCAGTAACCATACCACACTATGGGGTTAAACGGGGTTTTAAATCGTAGTTTCCTAAAATTGGGGGGCCCCACTATAAAACCAAAAATCCTTCTTTTCCTGAAAAGGTACCTCCTAATTTCAGGAAATTCCCAAGAAGATATCTCCCTACCTAACGAGGAGGCTTTGCCGCCATGTTGACAAAGCTATTGGGCTGCTGTTAAGAGACTTTACGTTGCCATAAAATGGGTATATGGTAAATAGTAGGGTTTTCTTACTTTAGTAACTCTTAATTCAAGTTTCAAAACAACAAATACTCCAACAACTGGGCTCTTAGAACCGTTAAGATACTGTCATTCCTAGGTTACCAGGTCTATACATTCGAGAAAGTGTCCTACATCAACCGTATGTCCATGAGTAGTCGCGCACATTCTGCGGCTGCGGGAAAATCTGGAGTCTGCTTCCAAGCTCGGTGCTCCCACTCTCCTAAGCTAGTGCTTTGAATTCCGGCCGCCCGAGAAGACTCCCCCAACAATAGGATTCAACCTGATCCCTTTACAAACCTAAACCCTGCAACCCTAAACCCTAGAACCAGGATTCTGTTTGCTTTGCCGTGATTCACCCGGACAGTGCTAGAACAAGTGACATGGAGGAGTATCTTCCCGGATGTAGGGTCTAGGGTTTAGGGTTCTATCTGCTTGAGGGGGACTACCCTAAACCCTTTGAACCCTCAAACCCTATATCTACTTAAGGGGGACTATACCCTAAACCCTAAATCCTCAGCCCTACATCTACCAAAGGTAGACTATAGGATGAGTCCCTCGGACACCAGGGTCGATAAACTATCTGTACACTCAGATCGGACCTTGGACTGCAAGCCATAGGCTGTCAGCCCCATGCAAGGTCCATGAGGGGGCCCTGCGATAAGAACTCCATGGTGCCGCAAAAGGTTCGCATGGCGGCAGGAGGCTTCAAGTTGTTTTCTTGAAATTCGGTCCGGAGTAACAACACCAGCGTGTGCTATCCAGCTACCTGATCAAGTGTCGCAGACATGAGCTTGAAGCCACAGGTCTCTTATCCTGTGCAGCTTCCACGGCAAGTCACAGCACTCAAGTGGTAGCCTTTTCAACGCCGTTAAAATTACAAACACCTTTGGGCTGCTGGTCAGGGTCAAAATTGACAAAAAAAAACTCGCATGAGCTGTCTGTGGCACAAAAACCCGTGGCCCAACATCGAATTACCTACGCATGCTTAGTTGCGTACAGGGGAATGCGCGATAGGGGGTACTGCTTGTAATGACTCCACTCCCACATTCCCAACAAAGCATGGGTAAAATCATGCAAAGCTCGTGCAGTCCAGCACCAGCCCCCACGCGTAGATGCCAAGACCTGTCAAGGCCACCGAAGAACAAAAGACCCACATTCTAGAAACATGGAAATTCTTTATTCAGGAGGTTATGAATCCCTAATGGGCGTTAATCTGTTTGTCACCCATTTGCAACCTTCTTACACAGTTCCCTAAACCTCTAAAGTACTCTGTATTTTTAGGAAAAATATGGAAAACCAGTCTGAATATCCCCAAACCGCTTCACAGAACCGCACGGTGCACCTTGTTCATGCGAGCTACAATCGATATTCCCCAAAATGATTAATGGACATGAATTTCTTATGGGAGTGACTATATTAGGAGCTATACTAAACTACAAAAGCAACCCCCATGTCCACTGTTAAGGGTCCCTTAATAAGGCTAATATTCACAGTAGCTCATGTCAAGCCCCAATCAATGAACTCCAACTTGCCTCTTGCTAGCAACGAAGAACAGGAACCGGTTGATTCTAGGAACTACGGTTTCGGGGCTTAGGGTTCGGGGGGTTAGGGTTTAGGCGTTTAGGGTTTAGGGTTTGGAGGCTTAGGGTTAAGGGGTTACGGGGTTTAGGGTTTAGGGTTTAGGGGTTTAGGGGGTCTAGGGACTATCAGAACCATTACATGCTCACAACTCGAACAGGCGGCAAAGAGAGCTCACAGCCATGCTGGCTTGAAGCATTTAAAGGGTTTAGGGTTTAAGGTTTTAGGGTGACTCGCACCTGTTGGCATAGGGAGACTCTAAGGATAATGGAGAAGAAGATGGAAACTACTGCTTTATGATAGGGAATATATTGGGGTTATATAGGGATAATGGAAACGAAAATGGAAACTACCATTTTTATGATAGGATATATATTGGGGTTATGGTAGGCAATAATGGAATATATCATAGAGGGATTCAGGGGGGGTTATATTGAGCATTCATGCGGGCGTGCCCATGACCTAGTAGAGAACCCCAACCTCCAGAGAAACCCTAATCCCTAAACCCTGAGCCCTAAACCCTATCTCCCTTTCTCG